CAGTTGATAAGTTAGTATCCCAGTTGTTAAGTGAATCACTGCAGTTGATAAGTTAGTATCCCAGTTGTTAAGTGAATTTTGATCACATGATCATGGGCATGCTGCAGAAGTTCTAACTGTGAAAAATAAGTCACATTTTTCAGTGCTGTTGTAACTTTGAACAGCCACTAAATAAACTGTCATAAGTCAAGGACTACCTGTACGTGCCTGTGCTATGAATGTGAGGCAACTATACTATAGGGATATGTGATAACAGTATCATGATAATATTTTTTTACCTGCATAACAATAGCTGTGCATTCATCTATAGTCATCACCACATAATGTTCTGGGCCTCCAAAATAGTTTAAGGACTCACAGCAGTTTCTTTCAATTAAAGTAATATTATACCTGCATGTCATGTGAAAGTTCCTATTAGTAATCCACTGAATATATTACAATTCCGCTGTACCCACAGTCCAAGTCCCAACAATTATTTATTTATTTATTTATTTATTTATTAGTTTGTCAAACATGTACAGGATAGCAGGTATAAGTATGAACATGGACATGAACAAAGAAAATGAATACAAGTAAACGGGGACAGTAGGACAGGGATGGTAGGCACCAGAGATGGGTTCCTACAGGCCTGGACCGGTTTGGCTGAGTAGGTAGTAACTGGTTCTATTAGTGGTGCCTATTGGCGGTGCCCACGCCTCCGAACTGGTTTTATTGGCGGCGCCTATGATGGCGCCATCTTGTTTTCTGTTTTTTTTCACTAGTCACTACTGTGCATTAAGCACGTCCGTGCGCGAAGTGTGTCCCTGAGCAAACCGGCAGTAAAGAAATCCAGAACCCACTTCTGGTAGGCATGCTGGTTTGCTTATGCACGCCCCCTTTATGGACCTCTTAGGAATGGGGTGTGGTCCACGGTAGACAGTTTACAGTTGAAGCTGTGCGGGTTTGAGGATGTAATATGGTTTGAGGATGTAATATGCTAAGTACAGTTCTCTCGTGCCTTTTGCAACTCATGTGAGACAAGATAACCTTTACTGTAATTTATTACAATCACAACAGCATACATTAAAATGAAAACACGATATCTCACTCTCAAAAGAAGAAATGCCACCCATCGAACAATGTCACCATCCCAAGGATAAAGTAATAATATAATAGCAGCAGTTACCCCAAAAATGCCAAGTTATACCAAAATGACACTAAAATGTAAAATGTAATTAATCACAGTCCGTTTTGAAAACTTAGTAGAAAAAAGACTATTGAGAGTTAACAAAATTTACACTATAGATCAAAGCTGTTACAGAATCTAGTTGTTCTGCTTTCTGATAACATCTCCCAGAAGGCAACAAAAAAACCAGCTATGAAGAGGTTATCTAAAGTCCCTGACAATACTACGGACCCTTATATGCCTAATGCTGGAGCACAAATCAAGGTCCAATCCATACACATCACTCTGTATTTTTGGCTATTTCTCAGAAAAAAGTAAGTTGAATCTTAGTGGACCTCAATGCATGATTAAAACTATTTTAAAAAGTAAATTGACATAAGTCTAAGGCATGACAAATGTAAGATTACATGGAAGGACACCTGACAATGAAAGGGATCTGAAAATATGAAGTTCTCCACCCTTGGAGTTTCACTACTTACTTGGATTCTAGTAACTGAAGGATTTCTGGGGTATTGAGAAGTCCTTCAGATGTCAAGAAAACATAAGGAATTGATAACCTCAGAAGATCATATCCAAGATTATCTGGCAAAAACTCTTCTAAAAAACAAAATAATATCAACAGCTCATTAAAAGCAATATTGCAAATACTACTAAGTAATATTTATTTATTGATAATGCAGAAAGGCACACCAAAATGACTTAGAATCTTAGAAGCTAAATGGAATGAAAGAGCTAAGCAAAAAAATAATTAACATACAATCTTTTGGGTCAATAATCTATTTTTATGAATAGATTTATAAATAGTATTTTAGAAATTATTGTTTTCAGAATGTCCATGAATTCATTGCTAAAATTACAGAATGTATAATTCCAGATAAAAGCTTCATTGTGCTTTTGGATGTGCAGAGATTCCCTCTGGGAAATACAATTCCTAATTGCTATAATGTTTTGTGTTTTTGGTACATTCCTGGAAGCTGTTTAGGTCAGCACAAAATCAGTACAAGCTATTACATTCCTACTAGATGAAAATAATTCTTAAACTATACTTTCCAGTGTCCAAATTCAGTGCTATCCTGCTTTTAATGCATTAAATTTCATTTCTGCCTAAAGCAAATATCCTATCATTTAGCTCTTTAGCAACTTCTCAGTGAGAAAAGTCATTTTAATTTGATGTTAATATGGAGCACTTATATTTACTGTGACTGTCCAGGGGTAGGTTGCTCCTGGCATTATTGCCAGTTTGGTGCGCACAAAAATTTGCAGATTTCCGAACCGGTGGGAACTCACCTCTGGTATTGTCATATCCTATTCATTTTAACTGAGGAGCAAATTAACAGATAAAAAGAACATATGTGCAGATTCGATTCTCTCTCTAGTAAAGACTGAGATACACTACAAATTAGAATTTCCATACCCTGAAGTGCCTTATAAGATGTGAAGTACAATTAATATAATTAATTGTCTAAAACTCAAAATCTTACCTATTTACAAAAGAAAAAAAACCATTTGATGCTGTCAATTTCTGCACCAATCAGTATTAAAAATGAACCTAATATGATTTTCCCCCTGGATTTATTTATTTATAAAATTTATATCTCAGGGTCATACCAAGGATTGCAGAGATAATGCACATAAACAGCTTTCAAATTGAATAATTAATATGATAAATACTCTAAACTAGCACATAAATAATTTACCATATAGACTAATTATATACAGCTATATAATTAAAAATAATTTTATAAATTAAGTTTTTTTTTCTCTGGAAAATACTTACGGTATGTATCTACATTATTTTATATTATTTTACAAAGCAAGATCCAATTTTCTATCTTATTTCCTTTAAATTTTATATTCACATACCAGTTTCAATTGCTTCTGGGGGAGCTGTTTGGAAAATTAAGTAAGATATATTCTTTTTTTTGCATAGATCAATCCAGCAGGAATTCTCATTGTAGTTGTATTCTATCACCAATGAGAAATTGGTCCAGGGGAAATCAGGCCCAATATGTTGATTATGTACAATGATACAAGAATATATGTCCAAACTAAAGATGAAAAGTCAAGAAAGAATCTTAGTATATGTACTTTTAGTCACATCTTCAGAATACTTTTCTGAAATAATTTCAAGAAATTAATATTTTTCAATAATAATTAACCAGGCCTACCTATTTATTATATGTTTACTCTCGAACAACATTCCTCTTTTCTTAGAATTCAAATATATGGCCTTCAAGCCTATATAAAGAGACAAATAGATTAAACATTCTTTTGCAGTCTTGGGAATTGATATGTGGGCAATGATTAGCCATTTATCCAGCTGAGTGGATAAATTAGTAACAGCATAAAATTATTAGCAATAGCAATAGCAGTTAGACTTATATAGCGCTTCATAGGGCTTTCAGCCCTCTCTAAGCGTTTTACAGAGTCAGCATATCGCCCCCACAGTCTGGGTCCTCATTTCACCCACCTCGGAAGGATGGAAGGCTGAGTCAACCTTGAGCCGGTGAGATTAGAACCGCTGAACTGCAGATAACAGTCAGCTGAAGTACTGCACTCTAACCACTGCGCCACCTCGGCTCTTAAACTATTAAACTGATGCTGAAATTTTTAAAAAGATTTTGTAAGCAAAGTTATTTTATTAAGCCTATAGCATTATCTCTTGATTGTTAAACCAGTACGCTCTGATAAAGTTGGTTAAATTATCATATTTTTATGCTGTGCTAATATTTTTACTTCAAGCTGCATATACACATTTTCTGCATGTTATTCTGTTAGCTCCATTATAATAAGTGGAGAAAATGTAATAATATTGGAGATTTGGTACCCTCATCAACTGTATTTGAAATGAAATAGGGAATAAACCTATTATATAACATCAGATTTCAAAGCAATGTGAAAATTAAAAGTAACTTTTACCTTGCACTGTATTAATGGTATTGATTAGGACTTCTGTTTCTTCATCAAAATCCATTCTAATTACAATTATTACCTGATACAGCATTAAAAGACAATTAAACAATTTAATAATATCCATTTGATATTTAACAGTAATCCAAATCATTGGTAGAGTATTTCCATGACTATAGGATTGAAGCAACAATAAACAAGAAAAATAAATATATATTAATGTCAAAAAATTCAATGCAATGTCCTTTTTTTTACTGAACTAAAGATTATTCTGTTTATATGTAAACTTCCCCTATTTTCTGGTTCTAATGAGAGCTTTTTCTGTGAAAAGCTGGTCTATTCCTACTTCAGATTATTGGCAATACAATTAGTAAACATTTTTTCTCTCTCATTTGAAAGCATGTGTGTTGTCACAATAATCTTTTGCACTTTCTAGGGAATTTCTAGTCAAGATCAGCTAAGTTGATCCATTTTATTTAATTTGAGAAGCTGAAGCATTCATGACTATAGCTGTGCCTTTTCTTCTTTGCTCACATTGGGTCCCTAATTCAGTTTGTGACATAGATTTGCATAGAATTTATTTATCCTTATAGACTGCTCAGATTAGCCAACTCTGAACAGCATACAGCAATCCAGTATGTAATTTGAATTAAAACAGACGGATTCAAACTAAATTAATAAAAACACCATAGAGTATAATCATGTAAAATCTGGGGTTATAGTCAAAACAATAAAAACTAATCTAATATCTGAATGGATAGACACAATGACAATTCCCCTTGCTTGATGAAATACTTAGGTTTACATCACTTTTTTAACACTAGGAAGGGGCAGTGAGCAAATGTCAAGGGGACTAGCATTTAGCAGAATTGAATTAAAACATATGTTTCTGTGATTGAAATAGACAATCTGAAATAAAGGTCTGTCAATGATGAAATCACCACCTAGAATGATTTTCCTCCCTCTACAGCAGCATTTCTAAATCTCAGCAACTTTATATTGGCTAGGGATTGTGGGAGTTGAAACCCACATATCTCATACAATAGTTGCTAAAGTTGAGAAACAGATGATGGATGGGAAGAGATGAAGACCTGGAAAATTAAAATCTGTAGAGATAGCTGTAGAAATTGTTTAGCTACAAAAATATCAAGATTGGAAATGGTAGATGTAAGAAAATCTACAACCAGGATACAGAGCTACAGATAAGAAACACTTATTGATTGAATAAGATGGTAGTAATTCTAAGAAGTAGAGACAAAACTTATAATGATAAGAAACTCCTAGCCAGTAAAAATAGACATAAATATATAGTGTTAAAATTAAGATTAAAAGTAGAAAGTAGGATAACAACAACACTGTATTTTTGTATAATAAAACAGCCCTAATTTTGGAGGGATGTATATCTAAACCTTTTGTCTCAGTACTAACTCAAGAAAACCACATTAAGAGAACACATCGAGAGCCCACACAACCAGATTCCACAGTTAACCAGGTTTGAACCATGAAAGATTTAAACTGAAACTAGTACCTGGCAACTATGCAGCTCTTAAAACAGAAGTGTTATGTGGGTACCTGGGATGCACACACCCATAATTATTTGAATTACTGCTTTCTGGAAAGGCTATAGTTTCCAGATGTTCTGCAAAGCCAGTTCCATATGCAGCACATTACAGTTGACTAAGGCATAACTGTCAGTGACTACCCTTCCTATGCCAGGAAAAGTGCAATTGGTGCAAAATGCCTCTTCAGCATAGCTGTCATCTTCTCCAGCAGGTGCTGTGAGGGCAAGAAGATCCTCAGATTGCAAATCAGTTATTCAGAATTAAAGTGGAATCTAACTGGAATTGGTGGCCCTTCAGACCTAAAGCCACTCTATAATTGAGTTTCAACCTGTTATTCTCCATCCAGGCTATCTTCCAATACCTGGATAGCATTTTGGCAGCATCAGATATTCAGTCAGGAATCAACATATGGAGTTGGGTCTCAACAACATACTGAAGAAACAGTTTCATGTAGATGTTGAATAGGACTTTTAAGCAGTGGTGAAATTCAAATGTTTTTACTACCGGTTCTGTGGGCATGGCTTAGTGGGTGTGGCAAGGGAAGGATACTGCAAAATCTCCATTCTCTCCCCACTGCTGAGGGAAGGATACTGCAAAATCTCAATTCCTTCCCCACTCCAGGGGAAGGAAACTGCCCAATCTCCATTCCCTCCCCAATCCAGGGGAAGGAAACTGCCAGCCAGAGGTGGTATTTGCCGGTTCTCCAAACTACTCAAAATTTCCACTACTAGTTCTCCAGAACCTGTCAGAACCTACTGAATTTCATCCCTGCTTTTAAGACCACAACAGAGGGGCTCAAATGATTGGTCTTTCTCGCACATATCATCATGAACTGGAGCTGTTCCTTCAGAAAGAAGAGGAACTGCCACAAAACAGTGCCCTAATCCAGGAAATCCATGAGAGATTGTGATTGAAAGCTATTTAGAGGTTGAGCAGACTTTCACAAATCTCTATGCTGGTTCTTTCAGATATAATCTAGAAGTATGACTAACATTATGTACTGAACATGAGCTTGCAACTTGACTGAAATGTTTCTTTCTCCCAGGGTTCGCTGCAGCTGTAGTTTGACTACTTTCTCCACAATACCCCACAAATACCAAGTTTTCTGTGTTATTTACCTTATTCTGATCATTTGCATTATTCTGTACCCACTTAGACATTAGATGCTGTAATTCTGTCACTTTGGGACTGACTTTGTGGTCCTGCACAACAAATTCTACAATTTTTAGCTGTTTCCAAATAATATCCAGGTTGTAGTCTCGGAAATCTTTATGATTGTCTTTTGCCTTGGACAGATAATCTGTTCAAATAAACATTATTTATCACATGTTCTGCATATTTCACATGTCAGTTTCAAATCCTATTTTTCCTCCTCGTGTCTTCCCTTTTTAAATGATTCTTAATGCATTTTAAAGCTGAACACTAAACCAAGATTTATGCCCAAGATCTGCTCATTCAAGGTAAAACATTACTTTTTAAAATGTTCATGGTAATTTTTTTCATTGCTACTATTTTTATTTTAAAAATTAAAGAGATTTCACTACATGTAGCCTGACAATAAAATTTGTACAAAATAAAAATGGATTTTACATCTTCCAATCTATGGTAGTCATAGAATGCTATCTTTCAATAAACCAATGTAGGATTACATCTCTTTATAAAAATTACCTAATGCAGTGTTCAAGTTACAGGTTAATAAAAGATCACGAACTGTAACCAGCAAATGAAGAATAGCAGCATGTCTGAGTACCAAAAAATATTTTGCATCTTTGCTACCTATAAAAAAAGAGAAAAATAATATTAGAGATTATTCTTCCTGAAGTACAAAAACTATTTAGTAAACACAATAACAAAAACAAAATAATAACAAAAAATCTGTTATTAAATTTGAGCGCTTTGACATCTAGCACTTAATGGAGTAATTTTGAGCATTAAATTAGACAATTTGACATATGGAGGAATTTGACATCTTAGCGTAAGTCAGACGTCCTCTTGCATACCTTAGATGTGCAGTCTAAGGTGCTTTTTTTGCTGTAGAATTGAAGTGCTATCACCCCTCCTTGCATAAGTAGAAAACTACACTGACTTGAAACGTCCTCTCTCCATTGCTGATCTTTATCCCACGTTTTCTGTTCCTTTTTTTAATTTTTTTAAACCTGTGGTCAGGTAATTTCATTTCAAGATAAAGAATGGCAAAGCCTCACTTATTTTACCCATACTGGAGAGGATTGCCATATGGTGTTGGAATAAGTGTGGAATATGACTTTAATACTGGTATAGCTACAGATGACTTATGAAAACATATAGCGGGAACATCAGAAGAAAACATTGCTAGCAGATGCTTGTGCCATGGCTACTTACCGTACAAGTGGCAAAAGAGTTAAGACTGCTTTTTATATTAGTACCTTTTAACATTTCAAAAGCATTGCTTTTTATAATTATTTGGAAGTAAAATTAAAATGAGGGTTCACCAATACTTTCTAATAATATGGTATTTTCCATTCTAGACCTGCAAATGGTCTTAGTTAATATTTTTTTCATAATTTTTTGCTTCTTTTACAGCATTTTTTGACCAAGATATTTGATTGAAAAGCAGGTGGCAGTTGTGGCTCAGAGGGTCCTGGTTCAGTTTTTCCCCATCTTTGTGCAGATCCATCTTGTAAAGGAGATGCATTAGGTCATTACTGGCACATCTCATCATGCCAATGTAACACAATTATTTCATGAGCTGCACTGGGTGCCAGAGGCTTCTAGGTATAATTCAGAGTGCTGATTATATCTAAAATCATTCTTGGCAAAGGGCGTGATCATTTGTGGGGCTATCTGCAATTTATGCAGAAGTTTTAATCCCACTTCTGTCTCTTAAGCAGTGTTATTTCATGGGTTGCAGAAGAGATGCCTTCCTTGTTGCTGCACCTACCCTAGAGAATATCATTGTCTCTCCCTACACTACTCTTGAAGTCTATATGACCCTGACTCTGCTTGCTTTTTATGATCTGTATTGTTTAGGATAACTTGTGTTCCCGCCCAATGTGATTATTTTGATTGCTGATTAGATTTAGCAGAATGTATTGCATGATTTATTTTGTGTGTTTGCGTATGCATTTAATTCAGTGTTTCTTAATCTTGGCCAATTTAGAGACTTGTGGATTTCAACTCCCAGAATTCCCCAGCTAATCATGCTGGCTGGGGAATTCTAGGAGTTGAAGTCCACCTACCTTAAAGTTGTCATGGTTGAGAAACACCAATTTAATTGTATGCTACTCTGAATTCTTTTTGACAGGCTGGCTATATAAAATTAATCAATCAATCAAAGCATGTCTTATTATGAAGAAGATTCCTGATTCAATCCCCAATATCTTGTTAATATGCAAGCCAACATTAAAGAAAAAGAAATGAATAAAAACGGAATTGTACCTTTCTACTATATAAAATATAAACTATATATAGTTTTAGAAAAAAACAGCAGTCCCACCTTGTTTCAATGTGTCACTGATCACTTTCTCTTGTTGTTTCCAAAAAAATCTGGTGTTATCAGAATCAAGTGTGGCAAACCTCCAATTCTGTATGCCAAACTTTATAAGTTCTTTCAAAACTGGAGCCGCTGCAGTTTCCAGGATATGATATGCCTGAGATTGACACTCTGGTTAAAACAAAGCAAAGATGTAACAAAAAGCTTTTAAAGTCCTGCAAAACAAAATTGAAACAAATCTCTATGTTTTATGACTGATGGTCTAGAAACTGAAGTTTGCTGATAACCACATGGTTTTCATGAACACTAAAGGGCATTGTGATCATGATTTGAAAAATTCATGTTTTCTTTAGGACAAATGTACAATGGTATATTTACTTCTGCTTTATCTTCCTTTCGGAGTTCTTTATTTCTCAACCACAGACATATTAGTCCCATGTATTAGGCTAGCAGTAATCCAGATTTGAATGGGAAAAGATGATTTGGCAGGCTTTTGGAACGTCACATACTACTTGTCAGCAACTCTTTGCAGAAGCTTGTGCTGCTGCTCTCGGTAAGTGTGGTGCAATTCCAGGAAAACATATGCTTAAAGAGATACTACACAACTATTTTTTTTCAAATTCTGATCAATGCATAGAAAGATAAAGACGTTCCATCTTTCTCTGTATAGGAGATCTAATATGTCATGCATCCTATTTTACAGGTCATTTCCTCTGCTTTAATGGCACATAGAGGGCAATTCTGTGTTTCCAAGCCTAACAACTCTTAACCCGTTTAAAAATGAAGATCCATAGGAATCAGTGCCCCTTCAAGAGTTAATTCTTAGACAGCAGACAGAGGTGGAAACATCATTTTGAAAATATAGTACTTTTAAAACGTGCTTCTCTACATAAAAAGCAGCATTTGTCATTGTAATACAATGTATTCCAATCTAACTGGCTATTTTGGTGAGGCACTCCATTTTCAGTATGAAAAATAAGTGGCCGCCTGTGGGGATTATGATGTTTTCTGTTTCTTTTTCTTTGGTATAATCAGTTCCCTCATAAATGTGCATTCATCTGACCATTTTTTCTGAACAGAATTCTACATACATATAATTGTTCATTCTTTAACTGGGGAACTTTTGAGATCATTATAGAGGAATTTGAAATCCAGAGCTCCTGTTATAAAAGAAACTTTAAAATGGTGCTTTAAAATGTTTAGTACCTGATGCTTTAATTTTGAGGAAAGCTAATGTATGGTTGTCTTTTGATTGATTTTCCATAGGAACTGCCATGCCAGAAACCCCAGGACTTTTGTGGACTTCTATTGAAGGTTGTTCGTCCTCAGCATCAAATACTTAGGAAATACAAAAAGAGGTTCATAAAATAAGTTAAAGCAATCTAATTTCTTACTGAATGATGCCCTTTTTTTGGATCAACACTCACCCTGAGTGGCATGTTTAAAAATAAATGGATTCATGAATGAGATCAGCACAGTACTAATGTTTTCAGCTGAGGCTAATTAAACACTGTTAATATTTCTCATGTTTCTTTCCTTATGATATGATTTGTATTTAGCAATATCCCCATTTTCCAACTGTAAAAATCACAGGTTAATACCAGTTTTGGGAAGGAAGAGATTGAAGTGTACCCAAGACTTGGAAACTGAAAGCAACCTACCTGACCCAAAATAATAGCTTCTTATCTAATGAGAGACCTGAAAAGCTATAATATCTGTGTGGCACATATAAGTGGCTGTAGGTGGCTATTGTGCTTTTTGCTTTCTTTAATAGAAATCATAGGGAAGTTTCCTACAGAGAAATTCCAAAATGTAGAATGTAACATATAGTTGCAGTTTTAGTATGAGATCACTAGATGGTAACATAAGACTAAGAAAAGATGCAGTGCTCTATGACAGGACTTATTAGTTCCTACAATTTTGTACTATGTACAGCTGAAAAAATATATTCATAAACAATGAAAATCTAACATAGTAACTGATGCTCCTCATTAGTAAATAAGTATTTAAATTACTCATGGAACTTAATTAAAGTCTAAGCTTTGAGGGTCTGATATATGTGAACATAAATAGTTTACTATTTCAGTGGCAATTATTGTATCTATGACATTCGTCATTTTTATCATCTGTGCTGGTTCTACACAACAAACTCATTATTCATCCAGTGGAAATTCTTTTTAATTAAATATATCAAGATACTTTTTAGTTAATTTGCACCCCAATTGAATCACACATTAATTAGCATAATTATTTAACAAAATGGGACTGGTTGCTTCTGAGAGCAGAATTTGCTAACCATTAGGGGCAATAAGGTATGCATGATCCAATTAAATGGAATGAGCCTGATTTATTCCAATTGCTTTCCATTTGGAAAACAAAAGAGAATCAACAGTGGAGAAATCCAAAGGGAGGGGAAGGGAGCTAAAGGGAGAGTCTATATCCGAATTTTTGTGGTAGTAGTACAGGGAGCTATTGATTCACACACACACACACACACACACACACACACACACACACACACACACACACATACCTGACATCCTTTAGCTACAGCATATACAGATTATATCTATATGCCTTCATTGTGTCAGCACATTTTGATTGATCTCTCCCAGTATACTTCTACCAGTAAGTACAAATTTTACAACATTATTTAAACCAAGGTTCATTTCACTGTACATTTAAACTATGTTGACTTTCAAGTAAAAATTAAATCCACTGTAATATTATAGCTCAACCTAGGAAGCACTTGATTGCATATCACCCAGTTGTTCAGATTGTAATTTGACTCCTTTTTTCTTAGTGCTGCAGCTCCCCACCAACTGACTATTTGATAGGAACTGCAATACTGCATGTAGCTTCCCAATATAGGTACACAGAGTATAATGCCTGATGGACCCGGAAGGATTTCAGGAGGAGCTTGACCTGACTCCCTTGCCCACAATCCGACAGAGTCCTTGATCGCGGCCTGGAATGTTGCGGCGGCTGAGGCAGTAGATGGGATTGCGCCTCTGCGGCCTCTTCGCGGCAGTGGATCCAGGAGGGCAC